AGCAGAACGCCTCATCTTTCTCCCGCGGAGCGGCTGGTAGTTTCGAACTGCTGGCCTTAAGGTTCGCAGCCCGATTCGTAACCACTATGCTACCAATAAAACAAAACAAACAAGATTTGATCTATATATTCCCTCATCATTATGTCTGGAGGTTGAATTTATTTACCAGTCTCCGCATACTGGTTATTATCAATTATTGAACAGATCAGTCAGAGTCCACATCAGGCTTTTCAAAAGTGGGAGATCTATTGAGACACTTTTTATTCAGGGGATTAAAAAAGCTGAGATAAAATAGTATTAAAATTGGGGAATAGTAGCAATAGTTGTTATTGTTAAGTACTGTTGAGTCGGTTCCGACCCATAGAGACCCTGTATAGCATTTCCAAGGAGCAGCTGGTGAGTTTGAACCACCAACCTTAGCAAGAGTAGGGTGTTGTTTTACCCCCAGGGCTTAAGAAACTGGGAGAAGGTAGTGAAATCAGAGCTTGGAAGCAGTGAGGGAAGGACTGTCCTGCAAGGCCCAGACCCCACCTAGTCAGGGAGCAGCTGCCCAAGCTGCTGTCAGATGTACGGAGTGAAGGAGAAAAGTTTGCTAACTTTGCACCTTCTGCCACTTGCCAACCTTCCGTGTGAGCCTTTCTAGAAGCAAAGGGCAATGGACAATCCCTGTTGTAGAAAGCAGAACCTAGAGAAAAGCCTGGTTCTTTGTGAAAACTGGAAGTTAACCTACAAATCAAATATCTAATATAGGCAGTTCTTGTTGTCGTTGTTGTTGTTAGGAGTAGTTCGATACATTATATAGGCCAGTTCTAAGTCCTGAGGAATTTCTATTCTAAGACATTTTGGAGATTTAAATTCTACTTCTTAGAAATTGTTTTCAAGAAACTAAATGGAATTAATGTCTTAATCAAATCTGACTTGCATTCAGCTTGCTGGTCTACATATTTCATGTGGCTAATTTTATCTTAAAGGCCTTTATTGACTTGGACAGTGAGAGAGTGCTTTACGTAGATTTGGGATAGGGCAGATGAAACCTGCCAGGAGTCATTCTGATGGCAGGACGATGCGATATCAGGCTATCTGGAGAGCATAGGCAGTGAGGAGGTTCTTTTATCAGGACCCAAGACATTAGAGACATGTAAGTGGATATGATCTTCCTACAGCCTTGCCCAGTCCAGCCTTGTCTTAGTGTATAATTCCCAGATTCACATCATCTTAGAATGCAGGCTGATCCCAAAGGTCTCTTTCCAGACTATTGATACCTACCAAGAGCGGCATACCCACTTCCTTCAAAGAAAGTTCCTTCCTGGGCTTCTGCGTAGCACTTGTTTACTGCAAAGGCAGACACTGGGCTGTCCTTGTCCAAGGGTTTGCTGTTAATGGTCACCTCCCCAATGCAGGCAGGGATGCTGTGGGTAATCTGAACCAAATTCCACAGGAGGGCAGTAATTATACGAGAGGAGCAAGGACACATTCCTACCCCTCCCCCCATACTTCATCCCATTTAGTGCACGAGTGCAAATTAAAATGCCGTATTTTTGTTCTTTACATTGCTCCAGTATTTCATATGAATGTCTAATTTAGAGCTACATTTGAATATTTTTGCTGACAATGCAGTAAATTTTTTTCTATTATTTTAATGAAATAACATGGAAATCAAGAATGCTGACTTTATTAATCTGTAAATATCAATTTGATGGCTTTCCTTATACATACTTGGTGGCTGGAGAAATGAAGAAGCTCATTAAGTGATAGGTAGGAAAGACTGGCCAGGAGTTTTGGGGAAGCCACAACATGCAATGTAGGGACAAGTTTTGAAAGGACATGCATACAATAGTTAAGCCTGGGTTCAAACAAGGTGATTTCACTATAGATCTATGAAGAACTGTTTTCCTGTATAAAATACATAAGCACAATCACACTGAAGCTAAATTGGGTCCCATACATAAAGTACACTTACATTGCCAATATTTCTGGCCCTGTACTCAGCAGGAAGGCCTCCTAAGTAGAACTTTCCTTCCACATCCAACGTAGTGCCATCTCCCACTGTGGACACCATTGGTGATTCTAGGTCATCAACAGTCATCAAGCCCTTTCTTTTAACGTACTCCGTTTTGACCTAAACCAAAACAAACACATCCATGATTTTTAAGGAACCCGAGGAAGCATTAACGGATGCTTCTTTGTAATATCTGTTAATTATAGCTGCACTACTGTTGTTGTTGTTAAGTGTCGTCGAGTCAGTTCTGACTCATAACAACCCTGCATAGGGTTTCTGGTCACTGTAAACTGCCAAACTTGCAGTTAGTAGTCCAGTGCTTATCCTATAGCTCCATAAACAGCTGTAATAACCTGAGCTAAATCCTAAAAGGTGGATCAGGGTTTCAAACAATTGGTGTTCAGAACGGGCTGACTTGGTAGAAGTACAGACATAGGTTCGGTAAAGCACACTTCAGAACAGATTCTTTTGAAATTTTGTATATTGGAAAGCAAATTCCATGAGCTCATCTCTGATTGGTTCATGCCACAGTGGCTTTTATTTACGTCTTGTCCATTAGAGGACATTGTTGGAACCTTTCCTTCCTTCTACCAGTGTTTACTGAGAATCTGCCAGATGTCAGTGGTAAATGAATACTGTCAAAGCCCTGAGGATATGTCAAGAAACAGAAAAGGTCTCTGCTTCATGGAGCTTATGTTCTCTGGGGGACATCCAAGGAATCATTCTTTTTCAGTGAGATGGAGTGATCCCAAGTGTCCGATTGAATAAAACTCAGAACATGTCCTCACAAACCTCCAAATACATACCGTGTGCCACTGGCCATCATTGAGCAGGGTGGGGTGGGAGACCTTTGTCCTGCCTTTGCCAAGGTCAAACATGAAGTGGAGATGGCCCCCATGGAGCTGGAGAACAGCATAATCAACTTGGTTCTGATGAGCCATGTAGTAAATCAGACCGCTGGAGGCATATGTTCGTATTCTAAGCTGAACCGAAAACCTGGAGAACAATGAGGGCTCAGCATTCAGAAAGGAATCAGCTTTTACTCTTTAAGTTTTAACATGCCCTCAAAGGGAGAACTCTTTTATATATGTATTTCTGCATTTATATATATAAAGGCAGCTGGAGGAGAGAGAGGCCTTCATTCATTTATCCATCCATCCATTCATTCCACAATGTTTACTGTGCACCTACTTATGCTAGGAACTCTTCTAATTTGCTGAGGATAAAGCAGTTAACAAAAGAAAGAGAATCCTATCTCACCTGAAACTAACATCAGGAATATATCAAAGGTGCTGGAAAAAGAGCTAGGATTGGTTCATGCAGAGGGGATTGATGCCTACATAAAGTAGTTAAGTGCTGTCAAGTTGGTTAGACTCATAGTGACCCTGTATAGGGTTTCCTAGGAGCAGCTGGTGGGTTTGAACTTTTAAGGTTGATGGTTTGCAGTCCAGTGCTGATCCCCAGCACCATGCCAGAAATCCACATTATGTAGTTAGGACAGATATTTCTAAGTGAAAAGAAAGAGCAAGCCACATACAGCTCAACAGAAAAAAATATGCATTCTCTATTAGGTCAATGCAGAGTATATTGGAAGAAAGGACTGACAAATAGTTGACAGTCAAGTGTCCCTAATGGTGACAATGTGGGAGAACCAGAAAAGATATCAAAGGAAGTGCAAGGTTATAAAAGCACAAAGGAACAAAGTAAAGATGTGGCTGGACCGCAGTGGATGAGGGGATTTTATTTTAGGTGCCCTGGGATGCCACAGGAAGGTTTTAAGAAGGAGTGGGAGTGGGTAAGGCTGCATTTATGTTTGTAAAAGATTCTTTTTTCTGATGTGTGAAGAAAGAATTAAATCAGTTAAGAGTGACAGCAGGGAAAGAGGGTGCCCAGTCAGGTAGCCATCTTTTCCGGAAAAGACAAGATGGTGGTATAGACTGTGGGGCAATGGAAACATGGAGGAGTTCAACTAATTCTGAAATGTTCTAGAAAGAAAAGAAAGGGGATGTACTGATATTTGGTGAATTTGGTGAATGAGGGAAAACAACAACAAAAATAACATACAGATTTAGGCCTTGGGCAAAAAGATGAATATGATACTATTGTTATTAGATGCTGTTGAGTCTGTACAGATCCAGGCATCCTATGAACAAGAGAATGAAACTCTGTCTGATCCTGTGCCACACTCACAATTTTTGTTATGTTTGAGGCCATCATTGCTGCACCTCTGTCAATCCATCTCTTGGGGATCTTCTTCTTTTTCATTGACTCTTCACTTTACCAACTTTTCCTGATAACATGTCTTTGATTCTAAGGAGCAATCTGGTCTTACTTCTTCCAAAACAGAATTGGTTGTTCTTCTGGCAGTCAATGGTACTTTCAGTCTTCACCAACACCATAACTCAAATGCATCCATCTTCTCCTCTTACTGATTCAAGTCTAGCTTTTACATGTGTACAAGTGACTGAAAATAGAGATTGGGTCAGGCATACCTTAGTCCTCAAAGTGACATCTTTGCTTTTTAATATTTTAATGAGATCTTTTGCAGCAGATTTGTCTAATTCAATATGTCCTTTGTTTCTTGAATGCTGCTTTCATGAGCAGTGATCGTGAATCCAAGTAAAACGAAGTGTTTGACAACTTCAATCTTCTCTCTATTTCTCATGATGTTATTTATTGGTCCGATTGTAAGGATTTTTGTTTTCTTTACATTAAGGTGCAATTCATACTTATAACTGTAGTCTTTGATTTTCATCATTAAGTACTTCTCTTTGTCATCTATATATCACAGGTTTTAAATGAGTCTTCTCTAATTCTGAGGTCACCTTCTTCAAATAATCCAGCTTCTCAGATTATTTGCTGAGCATACATATTGGATAAATGTAGTAAAAGGATACAACCCTTACACACTCCTTTCCTGACTTTAAACCATTCAGTATCACCTTGTTTTAAAGTGTTGAAGAGCAAAGATGTCAGCTTGAGGACTAAGGTGTGCCTGACCCAAGCCATGGTATTTTCAATAATCTCATATGCATGTGAAAGCTGGACAGTGAATAAGGAAGACTGTAGAAGAATTGATGCTTTTGAGTTATGGTGTTGGAGGAGAATATTGAAAGTGCCATGGGCTGCCAAAAGAACCAATAGATCTGTTTTGGAAGACGTGCAGCCAGAGTGCTCCTTAGAGGCCAAGATGGCCAAACTTCATCTCTCATACTTTGGACATATTGTCAAGAGGGAACAGTTGCTCGAGAAAGATAACATGTTTGGTAAGATGGAGGGTCAGACAAAAAGAGGAAGACCCCCAACGAGATGGATTGGCCAGGTGGCAGCATCAATGGACTCAAGTGTGGCAACAGTAGTGAGGTTGGCCCAGGATCCGACATTGTTTTGTTCTGCTGTGCATAAGGTCGCTATGAGTCGGTGCTGACTCGATGGCACCTAACAACAACACATCTCCTTGTTCTGTTCAAATGTCTGCCTCATAAGCATAATTAAGCATTCTGGAATTGCCATTCTTCTCAATGCCATCCAAAGTTTGTCATGATTCACACAGTGGAAGGCCTTTGCATAGTCAACAAAGAATAAGTAAATATCTTTCTGGTATTCTCTGCTTTCATCCAAGATCCATCTGACATTAGCAATGATATTCCTGGTCTTTGTGTGAATCAGGCTCGAGCCTCTAGCAGTTCACTGTCAACATACTTTTGCAGCCACTTTTGAATTATCTTTAGCAAAACTTTACTTGCATGTGATATTAATGATATTGTTCTATTATTTCCACATTCTATTGGATCACATGTTTTTGGAATGGCCACAAATATGGATCTATCCCAAACTATATGTCTTCTGAATTTCTTGGCATAGATGAGTGAGTGCCTCCACGGCACCTTCAGTTTGCTGAAATATTTCAGTTTGTATTCTATCAATTCCTGGAGCCTTGTTTTTCACCAATGCCTGAAGTGCAGCTTGAATTTGTTTCTTCAATACCATTGGATCTTGATCATATGCTACCTCTTGAAATGACTGAACATCAACCAATTCTTTTTGTTACATGATGCTGTGTATTCCTTCCATCTTCTTCTGATGCTTCCTGCATCATTCAATGTTTTGTACATATTAAGTTGTTATGTGCCATTAAATCAGTTCTGAATCATAGTGACACTGTAAAGAGGTTCCAAGGGGCAACTGGTTGATTTAAACCCCCCAATCATGCAGTTAGAGGTCCAGTGTCCATCCTACAGTGCTACACAGTATTTCAGCTCAAGACTTAAATTTTTGCTTCCATTTTTTCAGTTTGAGAAATGCTTAGTTTTTTCTTCTCTTTTACTTTTCAAATTCTAGGTCTTTACATATTTCATTATAATATTAACTTCTCGAATTACCCTTTGAAGATTTCTATTCAGCTCTTTTAGTTCATCATTTCTTCCAGTGACTAGCTTCCCTACATTCAAGAGCAAGTTTCAGAGTCTCTTTTGATGTCCATTTTGGTCTTAGTTTCTTCCCTACCCTTTTAATGACCTTTTTGCTCTCCTCATGTATGGTGTTTTTGATGCCATTCTATAGCTCCTCTGGGTTTGGTCTTTAGTGTCTGTGATAGTTAAGGTTTTGTGTCAATATGACTGGGTCAGGGTTTTCAGTGGTTTGGCAGACCAGAGGTAGCTAACCCCCATGATGTGATAAGCGTAGGGCATAGTTTCCAACTGCTGATCCTGCCTCTTGTTTCCAACTTTTGTATTTTAATCATAGTAATTAGCAATACATCTTGACTGCATGCTTGATCAATTTCAGACTGAAGGGGTTGGTAGAATTCTTCAATTTCTTCATTCACTTCATTAGTGGTTGGTGGGTAAATTTGAATAAGGTAAGTACTGTGGAATTGGTTCCAACTCATCATGATCCTGTATGGGGTTTCTGAGGAGAAGCTGGTATGTTTGAACTACCGACCTTGCGGTTAGCAATCCATTGCTTATCCTACAGTTCCACACCAGGACTCTATTTGAACAATAGGTATAGTAATTGGTCTTTCTTGTTATTATTGTTAGGTCAAGTTGGTTCCAACTAATGCCAGCCCTATGAACATCCTAGTTCTATGCCTTCTTCACAATTGTTACCATGTTTGAGACCATTGTTGCTGCCACTGTGTCAATCCACCTCTTTGGGAGTATTCCTCTTTTTTGCTGACCCTCCACTTTACAAAGCATGAGGTTCTTCTCTAGTGACTGGTCCTCTCCAGGTAATATGGCCAAAGTATGAGAAACAAAGTCTTGCCATCCTTACCTGTATGGGACTGTACTTTTTCAACACAGATTTATTTGTTCTACTGGCAGTCTGTGGAACTTGTTTATTCATTGTCCAAATTTCAGAAGTGTATGAGGCAACTGAAAATAATATGGCTTGGGTCAGGTGCACCTTAGTCCTCAAACCAACAGCTTTGCCTAATTCAATACATTATTTGATTTCTTGACTTCTGCTTCCATGGGTGTTGATTGTGGATCCAAACAAAGTGAAGTCTTTGACAACTTTAATTTTTTCCTCCATTTATCATGATATTCAGAGACCTGGTGTGGCATTGTACATGAATGCGCTGGACTGCAAAGTCATTTGAACAGCAAGGTCAGCGGTTCAAGCTCACCAGCCACTCTTCAGAAACCCTATATAGGGTCGCTAAGGGTTGGAACTGACTCGAGGGCACTTAACAGCAATAACAACAATATCAAGATATTATTTATTGGTCCAGTTGTAAGGATTATCATTTTCTTTCCATTAGTCTTCCCTATAGTCTTTGATCTTCATTAATATCAAGTTGTTTTTGCTTCCTATAAGTAAGGTTATATGAACTGCATATGGTAGGTTGTTAATGAATGTTCATTCAATCCTGACACCATAATCCAGTTTCTCAGATTATTTGTTTATCATACACATTGAATAATTATTGTGAAAGGATAAAACCCTGGCACATAAGTTTCCTAATTTTAAACCATCAGTATCCCCTTTATCTGTTTGAATGTCTGCTTCTTAGTCTATGTACATGTTCTTCATGAGCACAGTTAAATTCTATAATCCCATTCCTCACGATGTTATCCATAATTTGTCATGATCCACAGAGTCAAACACCTTTGCACAGTCAAAAAAACACATGTAAACAGCTTTCTGGAATTCTCTGCTTCCAGCCAAGATCCATCTGATGCCAGCAATGTAATCCTTCAGTCCACAAAATCTGAATCTGGTTCAATTTCTGGTAGCCCCCTGATGTAGTGCTGTAACCATTTTTTTATTTTCTTCAACAAAATTTCACCTGCATGAGACATAAGGAATGAGCACAAATATGGGTCTCTTCAATCAGTTGGCAGATAGCTGTCTTCCAAGTTCTTTGACAACGACGAGTTAGCACCTCCAGGGATGCATCAGCTTTTGAACAATTTCAATTTGTATTCTGCCACTGCCTGGAGACTTGTTTATCACCAGTGCCTTCAGTGCAGCTTGGACTTCTTCCTTCAATATCATCCCTCTTCGATCATATGGTTCGATCAAATGACTAGAGTATGTATATTATCACAGACAGCATTGTACTTCAAGACAGATCTTGAAATGTTCTTTTTGATGATGAATGTGTTGCTATTCCTCTTGAATTTGTCATTCCTGGCATAGGAAATCATATGATTGTCTGATTCAAAATGGTTAATACCAGTCCATTTTTGCTCACTAATATTTAGGATATAGATCTTCATGATTCTATTCCATTTTTTTACAAGTTCCAATTTTCCTATATTCATATTCATACATTCCATGTTCTAATTATAAATGGATGTTTGTAGCTATTTTTCTGATTTTGAGTTGTACCCCATCAGCAAATTGAGTCCTGAAAGTTTTGCTCTATTCATATCACTAAGGTCGACTTTATGCTGAGGAGGCAGCTCTTCCCCAGTGGTATTTTAAGTGTCTTCCAACCAGAGGGGCTCATCTTCAAGCATTGTGTCAGACAACGTTTCACTGCTATTCAGAAGCTTTTCAGTGACTCAGTTTTCAGAAGTGGTCTGCCTCTCCTTCTTCCTACTCTGTCTTAGTCTGCAAGTTGTGCTGAAACCTATCCACCAGGGGTGACCCTGCTGGTATTTAAAATGCTGTGGCATAGCTTCCAGCAGTACCCAAGCCACCACACATGAAAAACTGATAGACAAGTGATGGCAGAATGTGATGGTGTCTACAGAAATGGTGAAGATAAGGGGTAGACTTGTGAGTTCTCTTTTAGTGTGGTAGAGCTGAGGCACTTATTCACATCTGCATGGGCACTTGGAAAGTGTAGGTCAGGGCTAGTGAGATGGGGTAACATGTGGATGGAGCCATGGGTTATCTCTGCTGGCAGGATGTCAGCCCAAAATACTGAAAATATGGGCAGGGAAACTGATTGTTAAAACCATCCACTTGAATGGCCAAGTGTGAATAATGCTGCTGAGCATCCCATGAAGAAGACACCACTGAGTGGGGCCTCATGTAGGTCTTAGGTAACTTCAAGAAGAGCTTTGCGGGGAGGGTTGACTAGATGGTCACAGGAGAGGATGAGAGGTAAGGAAGGGGCAGACAGACAACAATAGCAACACTTTCAGAAAATGTTACTGTATTTATTGTATATGTGTACAGGGGATGTGATGGTTAGGGCTTTGTGTCAACTTGGCTAGGTCAGGATTCTCAATGGGTTAGCAATTAACATGTAGGTATCACCTCCATGATGAGATCTAATACGCTGCAATCAACCCCATGATGTGATATGATGTGATCAGCTCCTATGATGTTAATGAGGCCAGATGTAATCTACAGGATTAGGTTGTATCTGAGTCAATCTATTTTGAGATACCAAAAGAGAGAAAAGTGAGCAGAGAGGGAGGGAACTTCTACTACCAAGATACAAGAGCCAGGAGTGGAGTGCATCCTTGGGACCTGAATGAGGGCCCTGCACTGTGAGACTCAAATCTACTGACACATTGATGCCAGACACACGGAGCTCTCCAAGGAGTGCTGGGCCTGTAGATGCTGAAAGGAGACAAGGACAAAGAGAAAGAATTCCCATAGAGCCAGCACTATGAATGTGGACTTCTAGCCTCCTAAACGGTGAAAGAATAAAACTCTGGTTGTTAAAACCATCCACTTGGGGTATTTCTGACATAGCAACACTAGATCATTAAGGCAGACGTGTACTATATAGGGAGTTTCTGTCTGAAATGTTAGGAACTGATAGAGAAGGAGAATAACATAATCGTTGCAGACATGGACTTTGGAAGCAGACCACCTGGGTTTGAATCAAACTCTACTTCTCACTAATTGTGTGACTTTGAGCAGATTACTTCACTTTCCTGTGCCTCTATTCCCTTCAGTATAAAATGTGAATAATAATAATACCTTCCTCATGGGATAACTATAAGGATTAAACTAGTTGCATATGTAAAACAATCTCTGTACAAGTGTTTGCTATACTTCTAATCACTGAACACATCTGCATGTTGATGGTAAATCATGTTACTCAGGGAGAAACAGATGGTACTGCTGTCCTTGAGAAGAGGAGGGACATAGGATCCACAGGACAAGTGAGGGGTGGCCTTGCTAGGAACAGGACCCTCCCCACACAATACTACATAGCAGGTTGGGAGCAAAGACAGGTGATGGACCCTTTTGGTCATAACCAGATGAGGTGGCTTCTATCTCATAGATTCAAATTGCAATGAGCTAAGTCATCAAATGGATGTGAAGAGAGGTTGCAAGGATGCACAGGAGCTTTGAGATATGAAAAAAGCTATGAATGAGTCATTATGGGCAGTTAAGACAATATGAACATATCATAGAAATGTTATTGTCTCCTATGTTGATTAGAGGATCCATCTGAGGTGTGTGATCATTGTTTTAAAGTTCAACTTTTTAGGAAAGAGTTAACATTTTTCCAGTTTCAGTTCTGGCCTGGAGAAAGCAGATTGATACAATTTACCTGGGGTTAACAATCGTGAAGGAGACACTTATAATCACGGCAAGGACTCTGTCTGGGCAGGGAGTACATTAGGATGCAGGAGCAAGAGGAGAGGACTGATGGTGGTGACAAGAGACAGAGTTAACAGCATCAAGGCTGTGATATAGAGCAGAGTAGAGAGGAGAGTTAAAAGGATGAGAAGGAAGGAGCCCAGTAATTGGATATTTAAAATGATTTTGGAGATTTGATGGACACTTATGGAGAAGAGAAGGGCATGGCCATAGAAAGACGTGGCTGAAGAGAAGGAGGGAACAAGCTTTGATTGGTAGGAACCTGAGAGTGAGGTGTCACATGGCTCCTGAGTTAATGGAGAAAGATGGTAGGAAGCATGGAAGAAAATGTACTGAGCCAAGGTTTGAAGACAACAGTGACAAAGAGGTAGAGTCTAAGGAGAAAGGGGACCTCAACTCGCTAGATCTTGAAATGTGTGAGGCATGAACAGTTTCAGGGGAAAGGGTGCTAGGGACAGGCAGGCATTCATGCAGGAACCATGCAGGTGTGTGGGTACCATAGGAATCTGGGGGCATAGTGAAAGACAATTGTACTAGACTAGTGAATGCTGAAAAGAGAATGAGGGTGGAAGTACAAACGATTATAGATCCAGCGGGGCTTGGAGTTCTGGATGAAAGGCTGATTTAGGTAGATAACTATGTGTCAGTCATCAAGAGGGCAAGCTAGGAAAGAAAGAGACCCCACATTTACCACTGAATTCCTATCTTTTGCTTTCGTTCTGCTTCCATTGGTTCTAAGTAGTGTACTCCCTATTAAAGATCATAAGAAGTTTCTTTTGGAAAAGACTTTGTTTCTAAGACACCTCCCTAAATTTGTCTAGGAAATGAAGGTCTCATAATGACATTAGAACAATACCTACCTCTTTCTAACAGCAGACTGATCGAAAGGGAACACAAAATGACTGTCCTGTGCCAGGCCAAATTGGTGGGCATTGGGAACGAAGTCTGGGGCTCTGTCCACTGCACACAGTCCCTGAAAGAAAGGCCCAGGCCACTCAACATTCCACAGCCAGACTCCATTCCTAATGTACATGCTGCCATGACAAAAATACCTCAGAAACAATCATATCTAAACATCACCACCAAAAAGCCTATTTACAATGATGTAATTTTCCTTGGTTTAAATAATTTAGTGAAGCCATCTCTTTAAGAATGTATCAGTGTCACTGACTTGTACATGTAGAAACTGTGTGTGTTCTTCTGTGTATATTCCCAACCACACACACACATTAATTAAAAAATTTGGTCAAGCCTGTGTTTTCTTATAAATTAAGTCTTTTATGTTTTAAAGGCAACAATAACATGCACAAAGTCTTGTACAAACGTGCTTCATAAAGTTCAGGGGGAAATTCCATTACCTTTTAGTTCCACTTTTTTCCAGAGACTTTGTGAAGTCCTTTTGTATTAAGTACTTATTTTTTGTGTTCTGACAAATCTAATGTGAGAAGGAATCCTTATAGAAATTATTATAAAATTTTATTATGGCATGTAAGCCATGGTGACTGGTGGTTACCTTCAATACTTAACCTTTTCCCCAACTTGCTTTTACTCCAGAGGGATGATTCCTCGCCATTAAACACACTTTCTAAGCTTCTTTGCCAATCAGTTCCATCTAGGTTTTGCTAATGAACGGCACTGGTGGAAGACTGGAACATTTCTCCCCCTCCTCCAGATTCAGGTATTCTCTCTAGCCATGTCTGTCTTTTCTAGGGTGACTTCAGTTCCCTCTGGGAAACTCTGGCTCCTGAGCTCTAGTGACACTGCCACCTCCCTGGGCCTCGTCACTCTAGTCGTCTCTGTTAGTATTTCCAACACCTTTTAAACTAGTTCCCCACCATAATTTCCTCAGTCATGGGTTCTTTCTTTTTGTCTGGATGTCCCGTATATAATGAAAGAAGACCATTCTTACTGGACTGGGTAAAGGTTGAGGTTCTGGTGGAAGTTCGGTGTCTTCTCCTTGAAGAGCCAGTGTAGATGTTTCCGAAAGCAAGCAGGTGTCCAAGTCTACCTGTTCATAGCCAACTGCACTAGTGAAGTCTAGAAGTCTAGATACAAATAAGAAAGTGTTTTCAAAATTCATTAGCTATCACAGACCAATCCATGAACCAATGCCATTTGATTATGGAACAATTAAAGTCATTAACATACTACCAATATTTTGACTTTTACAGTAATTAACTGCCACCCATCTGTCAGCCTGTTGTTCTATAGTGGCTTGCATATTGCTATGATGATGGAAACGATTCCACTGATACTTCAAATACTAAGAGGGTCATCCAAGGTGGATGGGTTTCAGCAGAGCTTCCAGACTAAGACAGATAAGGTCTAGTAATCTACTTCTGAAATTAGCTATCATAACAGAACACGTATTATCTTATCTAATATCATATTGAAAGGAGCTCTGGTGTCACTGTGGTTAAAGTACTTGGCTGCTAACCAAAAGGTTGGCAATTTAATCGCTCTAGCTGCTCTGCAGGAGCAAGATGTGTAGTGTACTTCCATAAAGGTGTACAGCCGGTGGGGGCAGTTCTACTCTGTTCTACAGGGTGTTATGAGTCACAATCAACTTGGTGGCATTGGATTTTTTTAAAAAAATGTTTCTTCTGCCATGTTCCTATGTATCTCCATACCTCAGACTGACACACTTGCTGGGATTTACAGTGCTGGAAGATGAGTCCCTTAGGTTGGAAGGCACTTAGTGGTTGCAACAATGGACTCAAGGATACCAGTGGTCATGAAGATGGCACAGGACGGACAATGTTTTGTTCTGCTGCATATGGGGCTATTATCATATGTCAGAGCTGACTTAACAATGACCATCATCAACACAGTAACTAAACAGACTCTCTTTCACAGTGACTAAGGATATATATTAAGGAGCGCTGGTAGCGTAGTGGTTATGAATCAGGCTGCAAACCACGAGGTCAGCAGTTCTGCTCCCATAAAGATTTACAGCCTCAGAACCCCTGTACAAGGTCACTATGAATCGGAATTGGCTTCACAGCACATAACCACCACCACCAAGGATCTATATTATCCTATATATCCTCTTGTTTGATCCTTCTGCTTGAATGGCAAGCTACCTCAAAACCTTTCTGCACATCCCTATGTGTTCTACCCTGTCCAATTCCTGAGCATCCTTTGGAAGCTGCCACCTCCTCCGATGCCTCGGGGACAGATTCTAACTCCAGTTCCTACAACCCAGTGCAGTGGCTGCTATGAAACACTGTGATTGCTTGATTATAGATTTCATTTCTACTTGAGGTTAGAAGCTACATATGTTATAAGTCCCTTTGTTTTGTAGCTCTAGTGACATGCTGTCACTTTCAGAAACACCAAGATGCCCTATCTATTAATAAATCCATGAAGAGACAGCTCGGTGAATATATTATACCAATTCTCACATGGTATCAGATTCTTGACATTGACTATAAGATTTTTATTGCAAAGTTCAAGGACTCCTAAGTGGTAATCTCACAAGGAAGGACACTGAATCCATGAGAGATCTAAGTACTTGCTCATAGTCACAAGACAAGTTAGTGGCCAAGCCAGTGAACCTCAGTCTCCTGATGTTCAGTGCCCATTAGGCACATTCTGGAACCCCAGGAACCAGAACACAGCTTCTGTCCCAGCAACATGCTGACAGAAAGGCCGAGAGGGAGCCAGAAGGAATTCATAATCCATGGGCACACGTTAATCCTCCTCCTGACCATGAGGATAAGGCAGGGGTCCCCAGGGCCAGCTGCACCACACAGCAAGGGAGACATCCAGTTCTTAGCTGTGCAGTATCACTTTTAGGAAAGCCACTGCTAATCTGAAACTGCAAGTAGTCCAGTCGTAAAGCTTTCTTTAAAGTAATAAGCTCAAGGCAAAAGAAACTTACATCATAGATCTCTATATTCTTTTAAAATGTTTGTCAAAATGCATTCTAACCTCTGGAATTTATGGACAGTTCTGTGGAACTAATGTTCAATGATTTTTTTTAGATGTTTGATAGCCAGACCTGATTATCATTGTAATTCCATAAAAGAGACTTGGAGGGAATTTCATGATAGAACAATGCGGTTCTCTCATTATTCAGGACCTTGTAGAATTTAAGCACTCTCAAACCATAAAGTTAGATTGAAGATCAGTGTCAGCTCACCATGATGAGATTAGAAAGTACAAAAAGATGCTGAAAGCACAGCTAAACTTACTCCATGTTAAAGATCAGGTTTTTGATGCAGCCATGAAAGGACTGTCTCATTTTGAGCATAGAAATCATTTTACTCTCTGGAATCCCCCCGATGTACATGTTAGATACATTTATTGTTCTGCTTTCTGCTAATGGGCCCAATTTCATTTCCACAGGACTGGTCTCATCCAACTGGACAGTGATCATTCTAAAAGGTCAAAGAAGAAAACAAAGTAAAGTTTTATAATATACTAAAACAATAACTTCATTTAACATATAATTCCAGCAAGTTATTATTGAATAAGAATAAAAACTTCATGAAGATAATTTTTAACATGACATTGTATGTGAATAAAAAGATAAATTTTAGAAATTAAAATTTACAAGTAAGCATCCTCCAGAAATGAATGGAATGTTATTAAGTATAACTGAATTCAATTGCTTTTTTTTTTGGAGGTTGGGCACGGATTGGTCTTCATGAATCAGAATTGACTGGATTGGTGGCAATGCAAAAAACACAACAAAACAACAATTATTCTCTTACTCATTTACCTAGACAACCCAATGTCAGTAAACTTATATAATTTTTGGCTTACAGGTTTATAGGAAAATATAGAGACATATATGTGTATTCTTACAGAATTATCCAATGTGAAAATGATTCCTATTGGGCTCCAGAAAAGGGCAGGAGTAAGGTGGTTCAATTATGAAAATTCTACAAATATTAACAGCAGATCAAATATTCAAAACAGATTAACTTGATTTCCAAGGAGGGGTTCTAGAAAGGTTATACATTTATTTGGGAACTATAGAACTTTCACTGCTAATGAAAAACTGTAAATGTTACAAATATCACAGTAATTATCCAAACTGTATCACTGTAAAAATGTCCACAGGTTCCTAACAGGAACATTTTGGTGAGTCAATTGTAGCACCATCACTAATGTGCCCACACTTTGCCACACAGACAGTACCTCCTGTTTCTAAGCAGGAAGACGGAGTGCTCTTGTCCATCACTGTAAGTGCCCGTGGGCGAATGCAGGAGAATTCTTCTCAGGCTTGTTCCATCCCCGGAATTCACATGTACTTCGATGTGGCCTTCAATCAGCATGATGGCAAAGAAGGGCTGGGAAGGTTTGATATTAGAGAATTTCCCACAGAAAATTCATTACTGTATGATTTTAAAAATTGTCATCCTATAGAGATATTGTGGGAACTTAATCCCATTGTTCTTAACTTTTACATATTACTTTCTAGTCTACTCCTATAATTTACATTCTGACATCACTAAACATATCAAAAATTTCTATTCCTGGATAGCCTTCATATATATTATTTATTGCTACATTATGTTCCAATTACAGGTAGATGCCTTTTAATTATTTATCTGTGCCTTTATTGATAGAAATATAGATTATTTCTAATTTTTAGTACAGCACATAGTGAACATTCCAACATTTTTGCCTGTAAAATTGTTCCAAACATTTCTAAAAGTGGGTGCCACATTGAAAATAAACATAATAATTTGTATAATAATCAGTCCAGTCCTGCTGTGGAACTGTAGGATAAGCACCCGACTGCAAGGTCAGTAGTTCAAAGCCTCCAGCTGCTTCTTGGAAACCTTACACAGCGTCGCTGTGAGTTGGAACAAACTCAATAACACTAAACAGCAATAACAACATATTAAGACTGATAGACAAAACAGTTTGGCAATTCCTTGAAAAGTTGGATCCTTGCAGAATAACCATATGACCTAGCAATTCCACGCTTAGGCACACAACAAAAAGAAGTGAAAACAGAGATTCAAAGAGATATTTGTACTAAATTCCATAGAAACATTACGGCATAGGCACAATTGACAATAGTTAAAAGGTGGCTCCATTAATGGACAAATGAATAAAGAAAATATGGTGTAGACGTACAGTGGAATGGTATTCAGTCATAGAGAAATGAGGCCCTGACACGCTACCAACTGAGCCAATGTTGCTGACTGGATGGGAACATGCTACGTGAAAGAAGCCAGACATAAGTCACAAACTGTATGATTCCATTTTAACAAAATATCTAGAACAGAGGGACAGAGAGCATTCTGGTGATTGTCACCAGCTGTGGTGGGGGGATTAGTGAGCAGCTGTGAAATGGACACAGAGGTTGATTCTATAGGAATGAGAATGTGTTGGAACTAGGTAGAGGCGGGGCTGTACAACACTGGGCATGTAAGGCCATGGAGATGTTCACTTTAAGATAGGAAGTTTTATGTTAGGTGAATTTCACCTCTGTAAAAAAAGAAAAACAAACACAAAGACTGTTGGAGTCCACAAACCAATCTTAGTCATCATCAGCCTTTTTTACCAAGTGGCTTGTGAAGTAGGTGGACCTACTTTGACCCATAACAGCTGTGTGACCTTGGGCAGATAAACTAGGCCCTCTGAACCTGTTCCTTTCTCAATGTATGGTACATACATAATGTCTGGGACAATAGCTCACTGCCATCAAGTTGATTCTGACTCATAAGAACCCTATGTAGGGTTTGTGAGAATGTAAATCCTAACACAAGCAGACAGTCTCCTCTTTCTCCCACAGGGCAGCTGGTGGCTTTAACCCTACTGACCCTTCAGTTAGCAACCCAACGCTGGTCCCACAGAACAACCAGTGCTCTCAGTACATGTTAGTCGTATGATCTCTCCTTATATTAAGACAATATGTTGTTGTTGTTAATTACCATCAAGTCCATTTTGACTCAGATTGACCCTGTATAGAGTTTCCGAGGAGCATCTGGTGAGTTTGAACTGTTGACTTTGTGGTTTGAAGTCCAGTACTGATCCTACAGAGTCACACCCAGGAGTCCAAAAACACTTTACATTAGCATCCTCCGTAAAGTGCCCTAATGGTACAGCGGTCAAAATGCCTGGTGGCTAACAGAAAAGTTAAAGGTTCAACGCTCCACCAGCTTTTCTGTGGAAGAAAGATGTGACGGTCTGCTTCTAGAAAGATTTCAGCCTTGGAAACCCTATGGTGCAGCTCAACTACGTCCTATAAGGTCACTGTAATTCGGAATGGACTTGATAGCAGTGGATTTGGAATTTGAAAAATGCATTTTAATTATGTGATACATACAAGTTTGGGCAGAGGAGGGAGTAAATATCCCTTCACTGCTGAAATGCAATATAAATATGGAAAGACATCATCTTTTCTCTCGACTCTGATTGCTGGTCCACTGTGCTTACCAAAGGCCACATTTCTTTCTGCTCCTTTCAGTCTTATACTAGATAAAGAAATTCCTGCTTCATGGAGCAGTATACAAAATAACTCTACAGCATCTAAGCACTTGCTGTTTTCGCCTTAGGATGAAAAGTAATAGGCATAAAATGTGGAAGAACTCAGTGAGTTAAAAAAAAAAAATTAGAGGTAGAAAGCAAGTATCTTTTTTTCTTAGTCTCTAGTCAAAGAAGATGCATTATGCAACAAAAAGAGATCACTGATTCACAAGGGAAAGTCACTGAGCACCAATAATTTTTACTTATTAAAAATGCATATCCAGAAACAACTGGAAACACAGCTATCATAGGGTTATGCACAAGTAATTTTCCCTCTCAGGTCCCTGGGGGGTCACTTCCTCCCTGAACCTGTGACTGGTCAGCACTTGAGCTACTTACCATATGGACCTGCCGTCGGCTTTGCTTCTCCATGTCCTCACCAAGGCCAGTCACAATGAGACCACTGCTGTTGGTGGTGGCAAATGTTGCCAACAATTCCGATTCTGGTGACAAAGACTTGGGCGGCAATTCAATGTACCCACCTTTCAAGAAGCTAACACTTCGGATAGGCTGGTCACAAAGGAGATAAAAAGCATCATCAGTTCCTACATGAAGATTTCATTTGCCCTAGCTGTGGCACCATCTGTTTTATCCACGTTCTCTTGTTTATCTACTCCCCTGATTTCTAATTTGTTAATTTTATTAAGGTAAGAAATCAATGGACATTTATAGAAACTCATTTCACTATTGATAAGAGGCTTCATACCTCCAGTCTACAGCCTTTTCTCACTCCGTAGGAATTTCTGAGTAAATCAAAGGTTGATCTAGATATTTCAAGGTTTTTGATACAGCCCACGTAGTTTCTGCTGGTGAGGCCTTTCCTGAAGGGAAACATATAAAAACAAGAAAATCTGATTTCTAAACTCTGTTTTTTTGACAGAATTATGAACAATGAATGTGTAATGTTATAAGATCTGTTTCCATGTGTCATTTGCCAAAAATTATCTAGGCCTCTAAGAAGCCACAAGCTTCGCAGTTCAAGCCCACCAGCTGTCCCACAGGATCGAAAGATGTGACTTTCTGCAGCCTCGGAAACCCTATACAGGGTTTCTATGAGTCAGAAACAACTTCGTGGCACTTAACAGTTATAATGAGGCCACTGCTGTTCTTGGTGGTAAATGTCACCAATAATTCTGATTCTAGTGACAAAGACTTAAGTGACAACCACAAAAGAATACTGATGATGAGGACTATGGTGGTGGTAGTTATGTGCTGTGGAGCCAGTTCAGACTTATGGCAACCCCGTATAGGGTTTCCAAGGTCATGAATCTTACATGAGTAGAGACCCTCATCTTTCTCTCATGGAGTGACAGGTAGACTTGAACTACCAGTTGTTAGAAGCCCAGCTCATAATTCACTCTGCTATGGGTTAAACAAATAGTTTCCTTAGTACTGAAGAAAGGTATGCAATTTAATGAGTTGGCCTAGTTAGATGCTCATCTACACAGACATGCTTCTTGTTATTAAGTGCTAAGTTGGTTCCAACCCATAGCAGCCCTGCAAAAGGTTTCTGAGGAGTGACTGGTGAGCTTAAACTGCTGATCTTGCAGTTCAAACCGACCTTGCAGTCCAACACATTAACCCCCAGTGCCACACAGACACGCATAATAGTAGGTAATATTTTATAAGGATTACAATTTAAATGTGCTCATTAAAGCACAGGCCAATTATAAGAAAGGCAGTGAGTTGCCCTAAGGAAATTATATATAGCACATGAATCAAATACAGTTCATGGAGCAAGTGTATTGCTGTTGTTAAGTGCTGTCAAGATGGTTCCGACTGTATGAAGTGAGTAGTGGGCTTAAATCACTGACCTTGTGCCTTGTGATTCAAACCAACCTTGTGGTCAAGTGTGTATCCTACAGAACCACGTATCATTTCCTAGGGTGTGTGAGAAGTCATAATCTGTTGTCCATATGGAATACTCATGAACTTTGTTTTGAAAGAAGCAACTGCATTTGATGAAGTCTGGGATTACTCAAAACCCTATTTTAGTCTCCAACTCAGTACCACATTTTTCTTACTAGAAGTTGCCAGATTCCTGACTGGAATCAGACTCTCATTTCCAAAATACAGAGACTAGTGAACTAGTAAATTATACTTAAATGCATTAGCATTCAAAAATCACGGGAGTTTGCAGTAACAGGGATTTCTGCTGGGACTCACCTCTTCTTTCCTGTGTTGAGCACTGAACGAGGCACCAGCTGTGAACTATCAAGCAACTACATGATGTGAGGCAAACACCAACCTTTCTGGATCTTGGGTGTTTTTTTTCCATTACATATGAAAAGGCTGCTTCTGACTTTATTCAAGTCCCTTCTAGCATGAAAACCTATGATTCTGTAATGTCTTCCTAGAAATGGAAGTTGTATCCTTTTTTTCCAATATTCAATTGTGTTTCACGAGGTTAAGTACAAATGAACTATGACGCAGCTTGTGGCCACACAAACAACTCCCTGGTCCCACTATAGGAAATTACAAAGAGATTGGTGTTAGGCGATAGAAAGGCATGGCCTGGGGAAAGTGACCAGCTCCCCTGTGGCTTAAATTTATTCATTGCCAAGCTCAGGGATGACTAAAACTAAGGTTAGAATCTCTAGCCCTTGGAACTTCAGAAACTGCTTCGAAGAAACTATGGGGTTAGTGGGGTGGGGGTGTTGGATCTTGGGTTGCATTTGATTGCCTCATGTTAGGACTGTGCATAGAAACTCAGTTTGAAGACCATTGAGCTGAGGGACCCTGCTGGGCATTTGATGATCTCACTCCTTGGAAACTGTCGCTTGACAAAAAACATAGCCTTCATGGCTGCTCTTTCACAGGTTAACTTGTTTGTTTTTTTAACAGTGGCAAAGAGCCTTAGAAGTTAATTTGTTTAAATTTACAAAATGTGCAAAATTACAAAAGTGTAATTTGTCCAAACACTTTTGTAAATGTCCAAAATTACAAAAGTGAGGATTATGGGACACAGAAAGTTTATGTAAATTATTAAAGTCACAAAGCTAAACCTGAGTCACCATCATAAAAGGATTCTGTTGCCTCTCCCTTCTGTCTTCTTTCATGCCACTTGCTAATGCTGGTCTTTAGACTTTCATATACATTATTCATTCTAATCACATGAGGGGGGAAATCCCAGTAAGTTTGCAGAAAGCATGCTTCTGTTTTGTTTTCAAGTTTAAAGAAACCCTACTACTCTAAAATGTCTAGCTAGGAGATGAGGTATGATAGAAAGTTGTTGTTAAGTGCTGTTGAGTCAGTTCTGATCCACAGTAACCCCGTATAAGGTTTCAGAAGAGCAGCTGGTGAAGTTGAACTGTCGACCTGTGGTTCAAACCAACTTTGTGGTCCAGCACATTATCCTGAGCACCAAATATTGCTCAATAACAATTTTTATATGTCCTTATTGTGTAACAACATCAACAAAAGCAGTAAATGTATAATCATTAGCTTAACTCCCGAAGGATTACTTTATTACCCAATTGCTGCAGGTTAATGTGCTGGACTGCAAGGTCAGTTTGAACCGCAAGGTTGGTAGTTCAAGCTCACCAGCTGCTCCTTAGAAACTCTGACACTAAGAGTCAGAATCAACTCGACGGCACTTAACAACAATACAACATAGTAGTGTGAATAAAAGCTGACTGTTAGGGGCACATTTTCTGCAGATGAGCATCATACCTTATAACTCTTGATCTGGGTAATCCACCAACATAAATTGGATCCTTATCTAGGCGATTGAGGTCAGAAGATGCTCCTGGAGCTTCGCCTTGCTTGGTTTCTTTATAACTGGTATTATAGACATCAGTTACAGCTAGGAGACCTAAAAGGAGATGAAAAAGAAGAATTAATGAGAAAATTAAAATCATTTTCTACATTAAATGAAGCTCAACCTTATTCTTTTTCTAGTGTAATTCTGTCAACCAAAGTTCATTTGCAAAGACATGTATTTTACATTCTGCAAATTTGATTAACTAATGGTCTTGACTCACTAATTCCTAGAATATCAATGTTTATGTGTTCCATTTCATTTTTGACAATTTCCAGTTTCCTAAATTCATACTTTGTACATTCCATGTTCCCATTATTAATGGATGTTTACAGCTGTTTCTCTTCATTTTGAGTTGTGCCCCATCAGCAAATGAAGCTCCCGAGTGAGGGCTTTATTCCATTTGTATCATCTCTACATGTACACTGTCAACTCTACATAGATATCCTAGGCATTAGTGAGCTGAAATGAACTTGCACTGGCCATTTTGAATCCGACAACTACATGATTTACTATGCCAGGAATGACAAATTGAGGAGAAATGACATCACATTCATCGACAAAAAGAACATATCAAAATCTGTTATGAGGTACAATGCTGTCTGTGATAGGATAATGTCAATGATCCTATAGGGAAGACCAGTTAATACCAATATTATTCAAATTTACACACCAGCCACTAAGTCCAGTGAGGAGGAAATAGAAGAATTATATCAACTTCTTCAGTCTGAAATTGATGAAACATGCAATTAATATGTATTGATAATTATTGGTGATTGGAATGCTGTTGCAGACCATCCAGACCCGGTCAGGAGTTCGAGGCCCTGTGGGCCCAAGTGTTGCAGACCGTACAGGCCGCAGGCTCTGAGGAACAGACTCTAGCCACCTAGCAGACATAGCAAACTGTTTTTCATCTTAGTATTTAGTTATGTTTATTATTAATTGCATAATGAAACCCTGATATTCACTGATAAATGTAATATTTTCCTAAAAGCCGAGACTGTAAAATTCTAAAGGCAAAGTTTTTCCCCAAAAGAATGCACTCAAAGTAAATTGGGTGGCTCCCCGGTTCTTTGTTCTAAGTACAATAGGATTGCCCTCCCTAAAGTGTTTTCAGGTGCAGCCCTATTCACCCAGGCGTCTCTTTTCCTGAAGACCCTGGGCTGGGCAGCCGACACAATGGGAATCCTCCCAATCCTCCTTTTTCTTCCCCCATTTGAGGCTAGGTGCTCAAAGGTATGTTAATTAAGCTTGAGAAACCAAATTGTGGTCATGAGATTCGAACCTGATAAGTACAATGTAAAGCTGCCTGAATGTCTGGAAAATTACGTATGTTAGCTGTACCTTGCCTTAGTCCTGCCCAGCTTTGTGTAAAGTACCTCCCCTAAATAAAATGGAGGCGCAGAACGAATCCAGGTGCATTACGACTGGCAAGGTGTGTGTTACAGCATGCAGGGGGCTCAGTCCGGCATTGCAACCATACTGCCTGTTTAGCTAAGATGTTTACTATGCAGGATATTATGGCCTTCATGGCTGAGATGTTTGCAATGCAGGATCTGCCTGATGCCAGTCCCGCATCCACTCTGGTTTCGGGGTGTCTCTTTGTCTCTCTCTTTGCGTCTTTGTGTCTCCTCTTTTGCTATCCTTATCGCCGCCAGATATCCCTACCTCGTGAACCAAACACCTATGTCGAGGCAGGTTCCGGGCAGAAAGCAAAGGTTAGAAATAAAAATGAAGGATCAGTAGTTGGAAAATATGCCCTTGGTGATAGAAATGATACTGGAGATTGCAAGAGAGAATTCTGTAAAATCAATGATTTGTTCACTTTAAATACTTTTTTTATGCAGCATAAAAGATGACTATACACATGGTCCTCACCAGATATAATACACAGAAATCAAACTGACTACATCTGTGGAAAGAGATGGTGGAAAAACTCCATATCATCAGTGAAAACAAGGTCAGGGGCAGATTGTAGAACAGACCATCAATTGCTCATATGCAAATTCAGACTGAAGTTGAGGAAAATGAAAACATGAGAAAAAAGTCCATGAGGGCCAAAATATGACTTTGAATATACCCCACCTGAATTTAGAGATCATCTGAAGGACAGATTTGATGCATGAGACTATAAAGACACAAGACCAGACGAGTTGTGGGATGACATCAAGAACATCATACAGGAAGAAAGCAAAAAGTCATTAAGTAGAAAAGAAAGAAGGAAAAGACCAAAATGAATGTCAGAAGAGACTCTGAAACTTGTTCTGCAGTATAGAGTTGCTAGAGCAAATGTTAGAAGTAAGGAGGTAAAAGAGCTGAACAGAAAATTTCAAGTCAACTAGAGAAGACAAAGTCAAATACTATAACAAAATGGGCAAAGGCCTGGAGTTAGAAAAACAAAAGGGAAGAATATACTCAGCATTTCTCAAGCAGACAGAATTAAAGAAAAAATCCAAGCCTCAACTTGAAGTATTGAAGGATTCGCTGGACAAATTATTGAATGATGCAGAAAGCATCATAAGAAGATGGTAGGAATATACAGAGTCACTGTACCAAAAGGAAATGGTTGATTTTCAACCATTTCAAGATGTAGCATATAATCAAGAGCCAATGAATCTGAAGGAAGAAGTCCAAGGTGCACTGAAGGAATTGGCAAAGAACAAGGTACTAGAAATTGATGGGATAAAAATTGAAATCATTCAATGAAGTGAGGTAGCACTGGAGGCACTCACTCATCTTATTACAAAAAATTTGGAAGACAACTACCCTGGCCAACTGATTGAAAGAGATCCGTATTTGTGCCCATTCCAAAGAGAAGTGACCCATCTTAATGCAGAAAGCATCGGAAAATATCATTGAGATCCCATTCGAGTAAAGCTTTACTAAAGGTCACACAGAAATGGCTGCAACCATAGAGAGCTTCCAGAGGTTCAAGCTGGATTCAGAAGAGGATGTGGAGCGAGGATATCATTGTTGATATCCAATGGATCTTGGCTGAAAGCAGAGAATACCAGAAAGACATTTATCTGTGCTTTATTGACTATGCAAAGGCTTTTGATTGTGTGGATGGACAACACTGTGAAGTGTGAGTATTCCAGAACACTTAATTGTGCTCATGAGGAACCTGTATATAGACCAAGAGGCAGTTATTCGAACAGAACAAGGGAACACTGAATGGTTTAAAATTAGGAAAAGTGTGTGCCAGGGTTGTCTTATTTCACCATATTTATTCAACCTATCTGCTGAGTAAATAATCTAAGAAGATAAGTTATATAAAGGTAAAATATGGCATCGGGATTGGAGGAAGATTTATTAACATCTTGTGATATGCAAAGGTACAACCTTGCTTGCTGAAAGCAAGGAAGACTTAAATTACTTACTGATGAAGATCAAAGACTACAGCCTTGGATGCAGTAGCTCAAAAGAGGGAACAAATGCTTACAGAAAGAATCATTCCCACCCCCTCCACACAAAGAGTAGACAGGGATGGGCAACTTGGACATTGGCTACCCAAAATGGGGGAGGGGGGCTACAAAGGTAAGAAGTGACTGGCTTACAAGCTTTCAAGAGGGAACCTAGAGCCAGGGGGTCTGGAGGAAGGCAGCATCTCCAGTGAGTAGTATCCAATCTGTCTAGGCGGAGCTGGTAAAATGAAATGCAGATGGGTCTCTTGTGATACAATAGTGAATAATTGTTATCAGGACTGATTGTGAGGGTTGGAAATGTAAAGATAGATGTTTTATAGTAAGGAAGGGAGTGATTAACTTTCCAGTCTAGGAGAGGAGGTCCCTAGGACCATCAATGGAGAAGAACCGAGAGCGGGATCCTACCCAGAGAAGCAGTGATGCCTGAGATGGAGGCAGAGACGATGACAGTGGAGCGATGGAGCAGCAGGGGACTTTAGATCCAGAGAGGGAGAGCGACTGTGTGCTGAATCTTGTGTGTGTGTGTGTGGGGAATGTAGGGGGCAGGCTTGCAGGGTATACCCTTTGGTTGGTTGATGATGCATGAAGGGGATTGTAACCATGGCAATGAAACGATATACAATAGAATGAATGTAAAACTAATGTTCTCCCATGTAAACTATCATATAATTCACAATAAAACATTAAACAAACAAACAAACAAAAAACCCACAGCGATTGGTATGGATTGCATCTCAATGGAAAGAAAACAAAAACCCTCACCACTGGACCAATAAACAACATTTTTATAAATGGAGAAAAAATTGAAGTTGTCAACGACTTCATTTTGCTGGGATCAACCATCAACACAATCGAAGCAGCAGTCAAGAAATCAAAGATGTACTGCATTAGGCAAATCTGCTGCACAAAACCTGTTTAAAGTGTTGAAGAGCAAAGATGTCAGTTTGAGGACTAAGGTGCACCTGACGCAAGCCATGGTATTTTCAACAGCTTCATATGCATGCAAAAGTTATACAGTGAATAAGGAAGACCATAAAAGAATTGATGCATTTGAGTAATAGTGTTGATGGAGAATATTGAAAGTACCACGGAATGCCAAAAGAACAAATAGATCTGTGTTGGATATCATGTTTGGTAAGGTGGAGGGTCGGATAAAAAAAATGGAAAACTCTCAGTGTGCTGGATTGGTACAGTGGCAGCATCAATAGGCTCAAATGTAGCAACGATTTTGAGGTTGGCCCTCAGTGTTTCATTCTGTTGTGCATAGGGTCATTACGAGTCGGTACAGACTCTATGGCACCTAACAAAAAACAACAATTCTCTTGACTATCAAAGAAAACTGTAAATTCTCGCCATAAAAGTCAACAAATCCAGAATACACACTGTAAGATGACAGCCGTATGTGCACATGAAAATAGAACGGATTTGATTCTTGATTCAAACATTTCTTTTGTAGTTAAGTAAGGCACTTGGAAACATATGCAAATTGTCGTTGTTAAGTACCATGGAGTCAGTTCCACCCAACTCAGAGTGACCCTGTACAGGATTTCTGAGGATCAGCTGATGAGATTGAACCACTGACCTTGTGGTTCAAACCTCAAACTGACCATGAAACATAGCGCATTAACCCACAGCGCAACACCAGGACTCCTATGCAAATATGCAAATACAACTATAATATTCTTTCAGCAAGATTTAAATCCCATTGCTTGGTATCACAAAGGCAACAATGGCTTTCAATAAGATCATCATTCAAGAAATGAAAGTGGATCAAAGAGTGCGGACTTTAGAAAGAGTTCTCTTCCTACTACCAACGAAGCCAACAACCTGATTCGCCATCTATGCACTTACCCTGTCTTCGGTTTCGCTGGAAGGCGATTTTGTACCAGGTCCCATTGTTATAACGTCTGTCTGTAAGAAGAGCAAGAGGTCCTGAACCCAGGTCAACTGTGACTTTAACTCTGCCATGGACCAGCTCAATAGATAAAAAGTCTTTCTGTAAAGATGAGAAAATAGTTACCAATGATGACATCTTTATCATAGATTTCCTTTCCCTTCAAGATAAGGAAGGTAGACACCTTCTAAAGTCAAACTAAAAAAACTGGATTGAGCCAAATAGTCAGAGGTCTAGGCTATAAAACGAAAAATATTCAGGAAGACTTTTTCGAACATTGTTATTGTTAAGTGCCATTGAATCGGTTCTGACTCATAGTGGCCATCTGGAGAGTTTGAACTGCCAACCTTGGGGTTCAAACTGACCTTGTGGTCCAGTGCTTTATCCTACAGACTCACACCAGGACTCCATTACAAAACTGACATAATATGACATCCTATTCATTGTTGCCAAAATCTAGAACTCAGTAAAAGAACTAGAATCTCTTTGTATCGCTTTAATTTAGAATGTGGCACTGTCTTGGTGTAGTGCTATGGGTTGATGCACTGGACTGCAAAGTTGGCTTGAACTGCAAGGTCAAGCTCACTAGCTGCTCCTCAGAAATCCTAAACAGGGGTGCTATGGGTCAGAACTGACTCAACAGCACTTAACAACAACAATAACAATTTAGAGTAGTAAATCAGTGAGTCCTCAAAATAAGAAAACTAAACCACTGAGAGACAGAAATCACTAGCACTGAGAGGCCATAGTCAGATCAGATAAAATAGGAACAAAGAAACTTGTCAAATGGAGTTCAAATCAAGCCATGATGGTCAAAGTGAACACATAAAAACGTATGCTATTTAAACTCAAAATTTAATAACATGTTTAATTAATATTGGCAATGACTAGAGGATTATTTTCTATTTTGTATTCTTCAAAGGTTCTTCAGTAAACCTATATTAATATAATACCCACCGCCATTTAGTGGATTCTGACTCATAGTGCCTCTTTTAAGAATTTCTGAGACTATAAATCTTTACAGGAGCAGACTGTAAATATTTTTCCTGCAGAGTGACTGGTGGGTTTGAACCACTTATCCGTGGTTAGCAGCCCAATGCCTAGCTCAATGCTACCAGGACTCCTTATCAGTATAAGCAATTATTTTAACTGGAGGAAATAACATAACATGTTGTTGTTGTCAAGTGCTATTGAGTCAGTTCTAACTGATAGTGACCCTGTATAGGGTTTCCAAAGAGTGGCTTGTGAGCTTGAACTGCTGACCTTGCAGTTAAAACTGGCCTTGCAGTGCAGCGCATTAACCCACACCAGGACTGTCTAACATATCACAGGGATATATATCATTGTTTTAAAGTGCTGTCCAGTCGGTTCTGTATAGGGTTTTAGAGGAGTGGCTGGCAGATTTGAACCGCCAACATTCTGGTTAGCAGTACAGATCTTATCCTATAGTGCTACACCAGGACACCACACATCTATTTAGTATACTAGTATACACCTATAGAACAGTTATAAAACAAAAATGACCACCTAACCATCTAAATATAAGTAAGGTCTAGTGGCCCATAATGATTCTTACAGTGCCATTGGAAGCAAGGTAGAGAAGTAGCCCGTTAGGTGAGAAGGTGCTGAAGAGCATGATTATCTGTGTCACAGTGGTCCGGAGGGTCTTCTCCATGACAGAATACCCACTCCCATCAAAATGGAATGAGGCATCTTCATTCTGGGGACTGCAGAGCAAGCACAGAAATGTAACCCACACTTAGGAAGGCAGTTAAAGAAACAAGCAATGCATTGGCTGAGTTTGCCCATACAAAATTCCTGGTGGAGCTATTTTATAATTATAAGAGTAAGCTATTAATATGTTAAAATATGATCATCATCTGAGATTAGGCAAGATAATGTTTTAAAAGGGAAAGAAAGCTGATGTAGGCAGTGTCCACAGAGTAAAAGGAAACTTCTTCACAGAATGGATAGCTGCCATAGACATTTCTACTTATCAACAGATTTTTCTGTTGGTTTGTTTTCATTTCTGTGGTGTGTGTAACTCTTTTCTTAATTTTATTGCTTTCAGAATACTTTTTACATAATCACATGCCTCCTTCTGTTTGTATTAACTAAAACATCAGGTAGATTGGAGTTACCATGTATCAAGCTACTAGAAGGCTCGTTTTACAAAAAACAAAAAAACCTGTATTACATTTGAGACAAAATATGGACTTAAAAGAGAATTACATAATTTGGGTCACAGTACCCGTACATAAGTCTTTGCTGGCTTTCCCCCCTTTCCCCATCAACAGGATGACTTGATTCACTATTCATTCATAAAGTGAGTTAATCTGGAACATATAATTATGCTTCTGAAATACTTTTATAGAATATTATCTAGGTTTGAAAGTGAAGCTTAGATTTGGGTATTTTGGGGTATGAATTTGAACTTTTGCCAGTAGAAGAAGTTATCAACCAAACTCAATATCACATTTCAAAGCAAGTCAGTATTGTCAAAAAGCAAAATGATGTCCTTTAACAACAAAAACAAAAAACAGGATCAGTGCCTAATTTTATAATATCCTTTAAACATTTAAGTGATTGTTCATAAGAGTAAAAATATGCTGATACTAGATAAGGAAGTATATTAATGTATTCAAAGAAGAATAAGAAAAAAATGTCATCCTTGGGAGTATTTTCAAAATAAAAATATGCAGCAATTTGCCCAAGATGGGTAAATTATGATTCTTTGAGACAGAATGTTGTTGGAGAAAATATGTTAATTTATGACATGGATTCAAGCATACAAGATATAGCAAAAACAACATTTTTTAAAGGCTACAAATGACTCTCATGCTTCTTTAGTATATAAACCATGTCATATCCTTCACAATAAGATGGGCAATATCACAAACTTGATCAGTCTTTCTGATGTATATGCAAATTCTCTGAGCAGCAATCAGAAGTTAACTGAATAACACACTGCATGTTGAGCAATGGGGAAATGTTACCTACCTTCCAAAGCAGCCATTGCATGTGCCTTCCCGTTCAATGTAGTTCCACAGGCCAATAGAATTTCCATTCAGGAAGGCCTCTCCCATGCAGCCTTTGAAGTGAGTAACCTTCACAGTGGGAGACTTCTAATGTAAACAAACAATAACATCACTCACATATATTTGGTAGTGAGAAAAATGTTCTCTGAGTACATGAAACTTCTCCCTGGGAGCTCAAATCTAAGAGATTCGAATTATGAGAAAGCAATACTCAGAAAAATGGTCCTTCCAGTTTTAAGGTGGGTTCCAACTGGACAAAATACTAAAGATCATCTCAGTACCTATGGTCACTGAAGTGAAGACCCTTTTACAAACAGACCCCCAGAGAACATGGTCAATAGTAAGGACCTACTCGGACTGTGATCTGGGCCTCTTTTCAGAGTACAGAACCAAATCAAGGAAATCAGCTTTATTTGGTGAAAGGATGACTGATGAAGTGAGATGAATATGACTGACACTTCTGTAAGTAAAATGAGTCCTAGTATACAAGTAGAGATAAATCAAAATTAATGTGGAATATTAAAATTTCTGCTTCATCATTGAAAAATGAACCACTGGCTTCTTCTCCATTTCTAGACTTTATTCCTTTACCCTCCCAAACCTTCCTAAGCTGGCATATGGACAATAACTAAGAAAAAATGACAGAAGAAAAATACCAATTAGCAGTCAACACTTTAAGTATATTGTTATATGAAGTTAGTCAAAAGTATTGCTACTGTGGTTCCAGTTCTACTTTCATGCATGGGTTTATTCCAAACCAAGCATGTTTATTCATGTCTGTGTGCTCAGTGGATGGCTGCAGGCAAGTTCTCTCAGAAATACACTTGTTTTAGTCTTGTTTGATGCTTTCAACCCCTCCCCCTCCAAAAAATCACCCCAGTGCCACTGAGTCAATTACAACTCATATCACCCTGTAGGACAGAGGAGAATCTTACAGTTTCTGAAGCAGTACATTTTTATAGAAGCAGACTGCCTCAGATTTCTCCCTCAGAGCTGGTTTTGGGTTGGGACTGCTAACCTTTCAGTTAGCAATCTAATGTTTGACCCACTGTGCTACCAGGGCTCCTTCGTCATAAAAAAGGACCAATCAAAACAATGGCTTTCAATGGGATCTGCTGGGCCACTTAAATTCAAAGCAGGAAGGTCGGCTCAGAGGTTATGGTGACTGTGTTTGGAGATTCCAAAAGGAGTGATCTTGATCAATTTTCTTGAAGGCAACAAGGAGAAGTTTTAATGGAAAGCTGTATTAGTGAGAAAAAGGCCAGCAAAGTTGTGCCGAGGACCTCTTTCCATCATGACAATGCACCTGCACACTCTTCAAGGGTAGAATGGTTGACCTACAAGAATTTCATTAGGAGACGAGAAAATAAGATGGTGGATCAGGTGGAAGTGCAGTGATGAGCTCTGCCAGGAACAACACAGAATACAGGACCAAGAAGTCTCAGGGTATGGTCCTAGTACTCTGAACCACATATAAAGGAATATTTAGAAGGTTGGAAGACTTACAGCTGCGGAGTTTGTGGCAGAAGCAAGAAATCCATTGCTTCCTGGTTTGGGACACTCAGCTGCTCCAGGAG